ACACCCAGGGGTCCATTTTCCAATCAGCTTTTAAGTTTTCAACCCGTTTCCACTTTTAAATACAAGCCAACAAACATTCCAGGATCATCAGACATCTGAGGGAAACCTTGAATGTGAAAGACAACACAAAAAGAGAAAAAGGAACTTCAAGAAAACAAACTATTGCTCTATTTTCTAAGGAAGAAAATGTTTTTCTTAGACTCTAATTGATACCCTATTTATAAAAAATAACTAGAATTAATATCGTCAAAAAGATAAGAGGTTTCATTCATGTAATTAGGTTATGCTAAAACTAAAAATATATTCAAAGAACAAAAAGGGTCACTTGGAAATTATGCATCAGATAACTTTCATTAAGGGACTGAAAGATAAATTTGAGGATATCCTCCAGAAAATAGAGCAAAAGACAAAGATATGGAAAATAGGGCAGAAAAACTAGGAAGATCAGAAGACTAGAGCCCAACTGACCCAATATACAAATAATAGGAGTTCTAAGAAAAAAAAAAGAAGAAATCATCAATGAAATAATTCAAGAACATCTCTGAGAACTGACAGACATGAATTTCCAGGTTGAAAAGGTCCATCAATGACGAACACTGTGAATGAAAATAGAGCCACACCAAGCCTGTCATCCCATTTCAGAACTCTTGGAACAGATGCCACCATAGGCTTTCAAAGGATCAAGGCACAGAATAGCTTCAGACAACAACACTAGGAGGCTAGGAGCCAATGAACTGATTCCTTCAAACTTCTGAGGGAAAATGATTTTAACCTAGAATTCTATAACCATCTGTTCTGGTTATCTATTGTTGTGTAACAAAGTACTCCAAACTTTAGTGGCTTAAAACAACAACTATTTTCTTTATATCTCACAGTTTAGCATATCAGGAATTCAGGAAAAGTTTGGCTGGCCAATTCTTCCTCTCCATGTGACATTGACCATGGTATTCACCTAGTGGCTGGATTAGAGGGTCCACATGGCTTCACTCATATAACTGGTGCCTAGGAAAAGGCAGTTAGAAGACTCAGTTTAGCTGGGTCCCTCTTTCTTTCCAGAGAGGGCCTTTTTTTTTTTAATAGACTTTAATTTTTTAGCAATTTTAGGTTTACAGAAAAATTGAGCAGAAAATACAGCATTCCTATATACTCTCTCATCTCTTCAATTTCCCCTATTACTGACATCTTGCATTAGTGTGGTACATTTGTTTTAAATGAAGAGCCAATATTTACATATTATTCTTAACGAAAGTCCATAGTTTACCTAAGGGTTTATTTTTTATGTAGAACCTTCCATGGGTTTTGACAAATGCATAATGGCATGTATCCACCATTACCCTTTCATATAGATGAGTTTCATTGACCCCCTCCGCCAAAAAAAGCCTGTGCTCTGCTTATTAATCCCTCCTCTCTCTCCCCAAATCTTTGGAAACCACTAATTTTTTACAGTTTCCATGGTTTTGCCTTTTCCAGAGTGTCATGTAGTTGGAATCATACAGAATATAGCCTTTTCATGTTGGCTTCTTTCACTCAGCAATATGCATTCAAGGTTTCTCTATGTCTTTTCATGATCTGATAGCTCTCTTCTTTTTACTGCTGAATAATAGTCCATTGTATGAATATACCACAGTTTTGTTTACCCATTCACCTATTGAAGGACATTATGGCTACTTCCATTGTAGGGTCTTTTTACATGGTATCTCCAGCTGGATAGTCAGGCTTCTTACATAGTGGATCAGGGCTTCAGTAGACCAAAGTTGCCAAGTATCTTAAAAACCAGGCCATAACTGGCACAGAATCACTTCTACCATACCCTGTTGGTCAAAAAGTCGCATAACAGCCAAAATTTAAGGGTAGGAGTGTCAAAGATAATGAGGTCATCTCTAATCTACCACACCAGCCAATGAGAGACAAACCCTGATGGTCCTGGAGGCTTATTTCCGTCTGCCTATTGATTGCTTAGCAAGAAGCTGATTCATCATGTTCAGGACTCCTCCTATTTAACAAAATAATTGCCTATACCATAAATCTGTTATTGTTACATAGTGACTTATAAACACCAGACCATTCTTTCCCTAAGAATATGTAGGGAGTCCTAGATGTGTCTAGTCTAGCTATGCCCTGTCTAAAACACCTTTCTATAAGGTAATGAAAGTTCAGAGACCAAGTGAACACTATTACTTCTCTACTTGAAGTTTTTCCCCAACAAGTCTTATTAACCATATTTATGTTTATCTTATGATGCAAGCTGTGTTTCTGGGCCTACCTTATACCTCACCAAATCAAACAATAGAAACATTTTTAGATATACAAATGTTAAAAAAAAATAAGTTACATCCCCCACATCCTACAAAAGTTACTTAAAAACATTCTCCATCAGAAAAAATTAAAATGTGGTCTTCTAGAAAACAGATCTACTAAGTCAGGAAGAGGTAGAGGGAATCTGATGAAGATAGGGGCTCCCAGGGTATCTACTGAGCATGAGGGTGAGAGGGCAGCAAGTCCAGAGTAATCAGGTCAAGAGATTTCAGGAGACATTTCCACAAGACAAAATTAATAAACTCTCTAATAGAGCATATTGAAAGGGGATCAAACAACTGTAAAAGATTTGAGAGTAAATTGATGATAAATTCTTAAAAAAAATAAGCAAAGAAACAAAAGGCTCCTATTAACCTCAGGGAAATAAAAGAATTTGGAAGGGAAGAAAAAGCAATCATTGATCGTTTGTGAATAGTTAAATGCTCCTCTTGGTGGTGGGAAGTGAATAGATAATGCCAAAGACTACAAATAAAGAAGTGGACTTGAAGGTATGTTATTTAGAGATAAAAAAGAAAATGCCCAATGACTCAGTCAGTTGAGGCTGAAATTAGTTGCCTCTGGGAATGGAGAAATGGGGAGAGCAGGGTAGTACGGGATTACTGTTTATCACTACAAGCCTTATAGATATAAATAGTTCAACTGTCTTGGTTCACATTCACCTTTTCAGTGAGGCTTGCTCCAACCACTCTAACCTTATTTCCTCTGCCTCCCCTTTTTTTTCATAGCACTTACCACCTTCTAGCATCCTCTCTAATTTGTTCATTCAAGATGCTTATTAGGTTTTTCCCTGATGGAATGTCAACAATACAGGGGCAGGGGTCTTTGTCTTCCTCATTTACCAATATGACTCAGGTGCCTAGAAGAGTGTCTGGAACATGGTAGGGCTTGTTAAACATCACTCAAGTAATACAAATTTGACTTTTTAAAACTATGTGCATGGGTAGGTTTGATTTTTAAAAACAAAATAAGTCATTCACCTCAAAACTCCACCACAAAGCAAAAATCCCATACTTAAACTATTGCTCAGACATCATGCTCTTCTATCAAAAAAATATTATCATTAGTTTTCTCAGACTTCAAAAAGACTACTTTCAGTGCATTCCAAGTGCCCAAACCTGATACATGCTTACCTTTCTGAAGCGCTGAGACAGTTGGCAAGCACTCTAATACAATAAATGAGACTCGTGTGATACAAGTAAATGGTGATTTATGTAAGGTTGTGAGATATGAAGTTATTATAATGAAGAAAAGACACAATACATTTGAGGAGTAATCAAATACTTCTGAGTTTAATTATTATTCATTAGTCTATACCTGGTCTTGTTTCAAAAAGGATTTTATAGAAGCCTATAAAAGCATAAAGAACATAACATTAAATTACATTTCAATTAAATTAAAGCTTGGCAAAAGAAGATAGAAAATCAAAGACGGGACAAAGAGAAGCCAAGAAAATGACTTAAAGTATGTGCCGTTATAACCTGATACTGGTCACAAATTTGTCTCTAAACTCTGTGTCCATCAGTATTAGATTCAGCTACAAGTAGCAAAGAGACTCCACATATGGGTGGTTAAAATAAGATCATATTCGAGTTTATTTCTCTCACACATAAAATTTCAGAGATGTGTAGTCTAGATCTGGTATTGGAGCTCAACTCCACTGGTTCTCAAGGATCCCGGGTCCTTCCCACTCACCCCTCTGCCTTCCCAATGTAGAAGTTATCCCCACTGTCCAAGGTGGCAGCTTGCCCATTCTGTGCAGAAAAATGGAGAAAGAGGATAAAGAAGGAGCAAGGGTCACTTGCCAATTGTTTCCTAAGAAATATTCCCAGAAATCGGATACTTCTACCTCATTTCCCAGAAATGAGTGAAGTGGCGACTTGTAGTTGCAAGGGAAACTGGGTAAAGCAGTCATCATGTGGCACCATTTTACCCTACAAAAACTTCTGTTAAGGTGAAGGGGGGGAGATGGATCTGAAGGTCAACAAGAGTGTCTGCCACAGCTTCATAGCAACCAAAAGAAGAAAGGGTATAAGGTCAGGTTCAAAATCACTAAACAATGTATAGAATCGTTAAATCACTGTATTGCGTACCTGAAACTAATTAACACTATATATTAACTACTGGAATTAAAATTTGATACTTAATAAAATTAAAAATTAAAAAAAAACACATTTGTTGAAAAGGACCAATTGCTCAAGAAACTTATAGCAGCTCTTTGTAAAAAGTTTAGAAAGGGATGACTCTGCATATGGGGTGGTTTAAACAAAACCACATTTTTAGCCACCAATTAACTGAACTCGATGATGATTTAGAAACTCAACTTTGAAAAGTGTATTCTGCATACTTGGGGTTTTTTTAATTAATAAAATAATTATTGGGGTTTGGGGACATGACCAAAGCCTGAAATTTAAAAAAATAAAATAAAATAAAGGGATGATTCTGGAGGTCTTCACAAAAAGAAAAAGTTTAATCTTACTACATTGATGCAACCGATTTTATAGGACTGCTTCTTGTAAAAACTCTCGGTAATGTACTGACAGTTTAGAGAAAACATGTCTGCAGAAATTTGATTTTTCTGAATTCATTTGAACCACTCATTTTGAAAAATCATAACAAAATCCTGTTTTACGAACATCATCATGCGAGTGTCCTGATACTCATATGCCCATATGTATTTGTTTCAGAATTAAAGAAAACTCTATTTACCTTCGATTATGGAAAAGAAACCACTGCAATCACAGAGACTACCAGAATATTTCAAGAAATGGTATGTAACTTTACACTTAAGCCTTCAGCAGTGTGCCTTTAATGACTGATTTTGTTTCATAAGTGTCACAAAAGCTGAGAGTTAGATAACAAGGGCCACATAATAAAATGAATAGTCTCCTTTTCCCAGCACCAGGACCCTTTCTAGAGAAGGGCCCTGGGATTACAGCATCTTACCCACAGCAGAGGAGAACAAGAACAAGATGCGGTCAATCCTCCCCCAGACAAGTTCTAGACAGGCCAAGGTGCAGGGCATTCAAAGCTCAGGAGGCAAGACTTAAACAAGCATTAGCAGAACAAGGGCTGAGCAAAATCAAAGTGATTGCAAAAGCTCTGCAAAGTCTCCCACATTTCTACTAGGCTTGGAGTTTTAAGAAAAATGGCTAAGTGATTGTGGCTGAAATCCCCAAAGCTGTTAAGGAAAGGAATGCGTTTTCAGAGTGTTGTGGAGACTGCCGGTCTCCATCAGCTTCCCGTGTTTCCCAGGACATAAGTGTCCTCTGGGCTTACTTCTTACTTACGTGGTTCTTAGCTCCCACCTTGGACCCAGAGGCAGCACACTGCCACAAGATTTTAGTGAAACTCCTGATTGAGAAACCAATGTCGGGCTAATGCCGAATGAATTGCCAAGTAATGTTTTGGGCCGCCACAATGCAGAGATGGCAGACACTTAGGGTGTGTGATGCCATATCTCCCTAAGATATTACTAATCAACCTTGGCGCTCTTGTCTGCTACACCCAGATTCTGCCTCAGCAATTCATACAACACAGCACGTCTGACAGTCATCATCAACAGATTAGACTTGGCACATAAAGTTAAACCTATGTGCTATCCCCGGCCATCTCTAATTAACAAGAGTGCTAAGGCATTTTCCAAGCAGTTCAAGTTTTAACTGAATATATGATCTGCAAATAATGTATGTCTTATAATAAGTATTCTATTCAGAATAAGTGTTCTATTCTAAGAACAATGTAAGTTTTCTTACTAATAAAATAATAGCTGCTATTTATTGCTCTCTTACCAAGTGCTAAAAATACTTCAAGTGTAATATTTCAGCTGATTTTTTTTTCAATAAACTGATAGGAAGTATTACTATATGTCTTCAGTTCTAAGATACCACTGATTATAATAGCTCTGGGGAGTGTGGAGGGAGGAAAAAGGAAGAATATACAACGTACACATTGATTGCAACACTCAACCTCATATTAAACGTGTTAAAGTGTATTTCTTGGAATTGAGGGATTATCATGATATCCACACTGTTACAGCTGAGAAAACAGAGACATACAGAGACCAAGAAACTTGCCTGAGATCACAGATGGAAAATTACAGGGCCGGAATTTATAGCCAGTTTGTCTTACTACAGACACCAACAAAGGTCCTCCAGTCACTGGTCTGTCATCTGGGGTGATCTACAGAAAGAGATTGGCCTCACCTCTCTGCATATGAACGTATCGGACAATGTAGTGGAAAGTTAGAATTGAACCTGGCTATGAATCATCATAGATATAAAGTGAACTGCAGCCCTTGCACTTTCTCTTTTCCTTCAGTGAGATAAACAGCCCCAGGGCTGTCAAAAGCTCTGTCACTGTAACTGTAAAAAACAAAGAACAGAAATGCCTGTGTTGAATGTCATGCAGCTCTAGAAAATGATGGTTCAGAGTCCATATTTTTTTATTTAGAAGGACAAAACACTGCCAAAAGAAAACTCAGGATATAAAGTTGGACGGTATAGCTTCATTTCTACTATATTTTTTAAAACAAAAGAAACTAGATGTACATAAGATCTACAGAAAATATACCGAAATCATAATGTTTGATAGATTATGATCACTTTTTTTTTTACTTCTCTGTTTTCTGAAGATTTTATTTTTACATAGAAATAACCTTAAAAAAAAAAACCTAGAAAGAAACTGAGTGTAGGAACAGTGAAGGGCTTGCCCAAGATCCCACAGCCGAGGGTGTCAGGTGAGGGCGAGAATAAGCAATAGGATTCTGCTGGAAACACAGGCTATAAGCTACTTTCTCCCTGTGCCTAGGACACCAGCATTTCGCTCCCTCACAAGACCCAGACATGTCAACTCAACATTACTTTCTACCCACAACGAATACAGAGATCTTTTGTAAAATCAAAAAGACCAAAGGAAGATACTCCAAAAAAGTACAAAGTACAATTTGTAGTAGACGCTTCTCCCTTTTGTGGTATGCTGTCTTGACAGCATTCCTTTAAAATTCAGATCATGGAGATAAAATGGGAAAAAAGAGATGGGAGGGAAGCCTAATCATGAAAAAACGTGCATGTCAGAATGAGATCAAAACCTGTGCCTTCTGTACGTCTAACGAAGTGGTGCTGGAGTATAAGGGCAGGGAGGGAATGAGCTCCTTCCTTTTCTTTAAATTTGCAATTCTTAGAAATACCTAGAATGTATACTTCACCTAGTATAACTTCTTTGAAGATGCTTCTTGACTCTTTTTCTAAGGTTATAATTCTAAGAGGGTTTTTATTGTTGTTGTTGCTGTTGTTTTAGTTTCTCATAATTACTCATTATTTAATGTTCTGGTTTTATTTCCAGCCCTTCTTCCTATTTGCTGTTGCTTTTCCTCACTGTGGGTTTTCTTTTGATATTATGCAGCATGTAACCTGACTAGCCGTGCCAAGTTATTTCAATTACTCCCCAAGGTGTTTATTGGATATAGAAAAAAGTCAGCCTTCTCTGCCCTGCATATTTATGGCTACACTTAGGTTTCAGAACCAGTGAGAGAGGGGCGGGGTGGAGGGAGACAGAAAGGAGAAAGAGAAGAAAGAGTTGAATAGAATATTAAAGACTTTCTTAAAAACTGTACAGTGAGAATTAAAGAAACAGCTCTTATATTCATCTTGATGTTTATATACAAGATCTGGAAAACGTCTATAGGTCCCTCTACTGTGAACCACTGGTCCAGTGATTGCCAGTGATTGTAAAGCATTTTAAAATGTAAAATGTCAAAGTCATCTTTAATTTGGGTATTAATTCTCCAGCATGGGGGTTAGGCACAGCAAGCTTCCTGCTAAATCTTTACAGTTAGCAAAGGAGATTGTTCACAGCAGCTCCTATAGCTTCCAACTTGCCCCCAGGGCCCCAAGCAAAGGGGCCTATGTAGTGAAAGGGTAAAGGGTCCAAACCCCTTGTGGTTGGCTGGCTCCTCACACAATGTCACCTCACTTCTTGGAGATGCAAAGCGAGGCCTAGAGAGCAGACCACAGAGGTTTCCCCTTCTTGTTACTTCATAAAATCTTCTCCTTTTCTTTGCCATGTGAACTAGTAGATTGGTTTTGAATTTAGGCGCTGGAATGGGTGTGTGACTAGGACAAATCATTTAATTTCTCTGGCCTGTCTCTGTGCATCTATAAAATGGGGGTCATGGTTCGATGAACAGAACTGCCAAAAGTGACCCGGGATGTCATTCTGGGTCGCCTAGACAACAAGCTATCTCCAGTGGGCCGCCTTCACCCTATTTTGCTGGGGGGAAACGCTGCACCCAAAGTCAGTCTGATTATGGGGTTCCAGGAGCAAACCCTGCCTCGTAAGTTTGCCCCTTCTTCAATAAAGCCAGCGTTTAAACTACATCACATGACACAGCAGAATTCAACACAAACCCCAGATGGGGCCCACTTTGCACAGTACGGATAATAACAGGCCATACCTGACCTTCCCAGGGCTATTATAAGGTTGAATAGGAAAAATGCAGTGTTTCCTCAATGTCCGTCATCGTTGCTAACTCTGCCTACCACCTGTCCTATTATTTCCTCAGCATTTTTAAAAAATCAGTCGCTGTTTCAATGTAAAGGGTTTCTTTTAAAAAAAAAAATAAATAAGTAGATTTGAAAACACAAAAACACATTTAAAAGACATCCATGATGGGAAGGCCTGTTACTCCCAGAGTGCAAGGACAGAAAGAGGGGTCACCTAGGGTTGGGTTTCCAGGCCCCTCAAGACAGGAGTGGGCAGGGAGGTAATGGGAACGGGTGAGGGGCAGTCGGCTGGACCCAAAGAATCTGACAGAAAAAGAGGGCTCCCTCTGGGAGGCAAAGGCTGGGCTGAGGATAGCAGTGGGGAATGATGGAGCCTGGTAAACAGCAGGTCTGAGACTCACTGAGGGACGTTGGGGCCAGGGCCAGAGGAGAAATAGGTAGATTGAGAGGGAGCCCTGGGGAATGGGAGCCGAGAGCAGCCCGGGCGGCAGACTCCGGCTCCCCTGGCAAGGCTGGAGGAAAGCAGGGCGAGGGCAGGATGGGGGTGGAGGGGAGTGAGAGCTGAGGGTGGGGCAGCTGAGGACCCCTGAGGATGGGCCGGGCAAGGGACGGAAGCTGTGGGGCGGGAGAGGCTGGAGATCAAGCCTTGACTGGCTGAGCGGGGAGCTCTAGAACATGCCACAAGGGAGAGAAGCAGAGGAGGGGTTTCGAAGATGATCCCCTCTCAGAGGCTAGACCTAGAAGTATGAATGCCAGTCAGTATCCTGCTGGGAGTCCAGTGAGGCAATCACAGACCCCAAAACCACCTCCCATACCCATGCTGCATGGTCCACTTTTGGGGGGGCCTTAGCATTGGGCGTTAGGGCCTCACGCCCAGTGAAGACTCAGTGAATGCTAGGTTTTATTCAGCCCTCACTGTCCTTGCCTGACGTCATTGCCCCTTGTTCACATGTCCAGCAGAGCCAACCTCCTGCCCTTTGTTGGGCACAAGCCCTTTGTTGCTGCCCCTGCTGTCACCCTTTTCTTGGCTTATAGCTGAGTTTCTTGCTTCAAGTCTGACTTCCCAGTGAGCACGAGCCCCGGGGGGACCCATATTTGTACTACTAGCATACTCAGCCTCTGCCACGCGTCGTAGGGACTTAACAACCTGACACAGTCTTTCTTTTAAGCCCAAATGCCTTTCAGGAATTACATTCAGCCTTTGAAGAGAAGAAAAGCACACACAGTAATCCTTTGCCAACTTCCATGGTGGGCAACAACCACCATT